TCAACGTACTGCACGCTGTCATAAACGCCCTGGTCGACCAAGGATCGGAGGCAACCATTGTCTCGGAGCACGTGGTACAGTCAATGGCGATCTGGTACCCGAAAATCTATTTTTGGGATGGGTCTTCGAGCGGTCGTCGGTGCAAGTATACTGTCAATTTTGAAATCCGTAGTAATGTTAACCCTGACTTTTCAGAAGACGTTGATTCCGCGTATGTCCTCAATTCGGTTACTTCCTGTCTTCCTTGTCGCAGCTTCATGCTTCAGCGTTGGGACCATATACGAGGGCTCCTGCTGGCGGATCCGAACTGCTCACGATCGAAGCTAGTCAATATCATTTTGGGTGTGGACCTTTTGGTGCAAATCATTGCCGCACATCAGGATCGGGCTGCTCGGAATATCCTTAAACGACGTGCTATCCATCAGCGTTTTCGCCTTGTCCACGCTAACCGTTGAGACGGCGTCTGCATCTTTCATGGCCATCAGGGTTATTCAGCAGTTGGCGAAGGACTAGCGGCGTTCATTTCCCAAGGAGGAAGAGGTATTGATGAGAGAAATATATGTGGATGACATTCTTTCTGGAGGTCACACGTTGAAGGAGCCAAGGGATAAGCGGACACAAGTATCGGGTGCGATAAAATCCACGTGTATGGAGTTGCGGAAATGATCAAGCAACGAGTCCAGTATTTTGACACTACAGGTCCTATCAAGGCGTTAGGGATGTATTGGCTCCCGAATAAGGAATGTTTCAAATTACAGGTTAATTTTGAAATTCTAGCTAATTTCACCAAACGGATTATTTTATAAAGCATAGCTGGCCTGTTCGATCCACTGGGTCTTATCGCACCAGTCATCATCGTGGGAAAGCTGATCTTAAAGGAGGTAACCATGGCAAAGGAAGTGCTTGCGGATGGCACTCAGTCGGCGCTGGGGCGGGACGACGAGGTTCCTGACGCCCTTGTCGAACGGCATAGTGTCGGCTCAGCTTCACGCGTTCTGGGACGGTTCATCACATCTTATGCGGCTACGATCTACCTAAGGCTCGAGTGCGTGGACGGAGCGTGCTGCGGGGACTGTCTTTGGGTGAATTCAAGGGCTTTGGCTCGTGGTGGCGAGCCCTGAGTGGCTCATACGGAGTCCGGGTGACTGGCCTTCGATTGAGTTCGAGCAGGTCGACACAAGCGATGCCGCTCTAGAGGCAAGGCCGGCCAAATTACGCGTTCACCACGCAGTCCCGCTTCCGTCGTTCGTTGGCAGATTTTCTACTTTCAGCCGGGCTGTACGAGTCACGGCCTATGCGTTGCGGCTCAGGCACAATTCTGTCGGCAAAGGGGAGAGACGCATCGGTCCCCTAACCATTGAATAGCTCGACTTTTCTCTAGTGGCTATAGTGCGCATCTAGCAGCGGGAATCGTTCCCAGTGGATTTGGCTGCAGTTTGATCTTTTGAGCGTGTCGCAGATCTTGTCGGAAGGCATCCTGCGAGTGGGGGGCGGCTATGCCATTCTAACTTGCCATATGAGCACCAACATCCGATAATACTTCCAAGATCATTTCACTGAGCTGGTAATACGGCACTCGCACTTTAGTGCGAACACGCCAGCCGTTCTGGATAGTGACAGGAAGGCAGGCAGTTCAAAGAGTTGCACGGAAATGTGTCCAGAGTTTCTGGGCACAGCCCTTCGCTTCGGCTCCGCTCATGGGAGACTTGCCGCTTCATCGAGTGAACCCCCCTAGCCTTCATGGCAACGGGAGTTGACGCTACTACACAGGCGTTATAGAGCTCAAGGCAGCACGGTTGCGAGGCACCAGCTTCTACAAGGGGTACATCGCCGTTCTCATTTGCCTTGCAGCAAAGGCAGTGCACTTAGAATCGTTGACAGGCCTCACCACGGAACATATTTTACTGGCGCTGGATAGTTCACCGGGAGGAGAGAGATGGTTCAGCACCTCTACGGTGACACTGGGACCAACTTTGAGGGGGCGCAAAATCTAATGATGAAGTTATTCGGTAAGCTTCAAGAATATTACGATCAGCTTATAGCCCCCAAGCTCTCGTCAGAACGGACATCGTGGCACTTTAATCCTCCTCAGTCGGCCAATTTTGGCGAACTGTGGCAGGCTAACTTGAAGTCGTTGAAACACCATCTGAAGAGGGTCATTTTGGACCGACTGGCTACTGTGGCGCGTCGTCAAGCTACACCCGGGGATGGATACGTTGGTCCGGGTTGTTACTCTTAAAATCAAGCAAGACCGGTTGCAGCGCTCAGTGTCAAAGGTTCAACAGCTGCCAATCCGTTCTTAAGCGCCGTAACTTGCCCCCCTTAGTAATAATTAACTTGTTTCTTTCGCACACTTCTTGTTTACTTTCCCATACTAGATATTCTACCCCACAACCAAGATGGACCGGACAAGCGAAGGTTTCTCATGCTAGGTCTAGCATTGGCAGGCGGCATGTGAAGTTTACTGCTTGGCCCTGCTGGTAGCTGGAAGCTCTCGCACTTTGGGACGATGCGAGAGATCGCGAGAGCAATAGCGGAAGGAGGACGAAGGCAGTCGACTTCGGCAAGCGAGAGAATACGCACGTCGCTATCTAACGCGGGACGCCATTTCCATATGTGCATTATATATATAAATAAACATGAATTTTGTAAATTTTTCAGTTAGTGTTTACATTGCCTGGGAACCCCCCTTTCAATAAATACAAGGGGACACGACTATACACTTACCCTAATTCGTTTGACTCTGTATAATTTTTGACGAGGTTGGCTTCTAATGTGCCTTTTAGGCCAACTTCTATTTTTTATACTGTTTACTCCCATAGACGTTTATTTTATTTTATTAGTTCCACTTATTATAATTATAATCCCAATTGATATAAGGTGATCCAAGTAATTATTGTGTATCAAGCACATGCTTGGCATTGGTGTCAACTTGTCTTAAACTAATCCTAACATACATAAGCGAAATATTTAAGAACATTTGCCAAGGACACACATATGAAGATATTAAAAACGATATTAGTATTTTCAGAAAAATATTAATTTATAATCAGGATTGATAGCTGATTCGAATTTGCTACTATCAATTACGCGTTACTTTTTTAATGAATTTCAAAATGATTATGGAAGCAGCAGAAAACTCCGTCTATTACCTTTTTAATATCTACCGTGCCTTAACAACCTAAATTTTTTAATGAGTTAAAAAAGCTAATAAAAGGTTTTCAAGTACATAGATTCTGACAAAAAATAACTTATAATTATGGTGAAATGAAAAGTTATAAGTATATAGACAGACGGATAAATGGACAAGGCTAAATAAAATTGAAGTTAATCGAATACGCTTCCTTCTGCCAACAATATATTTTCAGCGAATACTTTTTACCCTTCCACTCTATGAGTACCGTGTTTAAAAAGAAGAAGAAGTGCTAACAGAACATTACTCCTTATTTTGTATTAAAATACCAGTAAAACGTATACATAACTTGCATTTATATTTTTGTTTTATTTGCATTCATGTGAGCACCGTAGAAACTTAAACACACCTCAACACCAACTACCTTAAAGCTTGCCAATAAATTAATCTTTAAGAAAAAATTTAAACAAACATTGTTAAGGCAATAATTTTGTAATAAATTAAGGTATGGCAATTTATTTGCTGCACTAGGGACATTGTTCGTGTCGGTAGTCCCGGTACCAATTGGGACGCAAACTGGTTTTGAGACTAGCGAAACCCATCACTTTTCCTTTTGTATGGAAACCAAGGTCAGTGAATTATGTATGAAGCGTTATCTTGTAGAGAGTATTCGATAACAGCACCACCCATAACCAGTTTTTATTTTTAAATATAAAAAAAGATGGAAGCGATTGGTTTTGAGTAAAAGAAATCATTGAAATTAAGGTTAAACTTAAACCGGTTTTCTTTTAGCACCATTTGTGCGCCAAGTAATCTCTTGGCTGGTGGGTGTGCGGACTGCTTACTCCGTTTAGTATTATGCAAAAATGGATACATCTGAAATATTCTAGTTGAAACAGTGGCATTCCTAGTCCAAAAATTATATTATTAATAAATACGAAAATATACTTTTCAACGAATACTCTACGCGTAAGGGGTGTTAGATATTGTTGGTCGCCTTTTTGTCAATTTTGATTTAAAAAAAGGTTTTCATAAATTATTTACTTTACTATTATTTTTATTTTTACATAATGCAAGTTAAACGACTATGAAGATACAAGTTAATTAATGTCACAAGTCGTTTTAAAATCAACCATAACTTTTATAAAAAACCCTGGATATTATAAATATGGAAATAAATGCAGGCCTAGCCACAAACTCGGTAGAAATTTTCACTTTCATCAAAATCAAATGATTATATTTGTATACTATGTAAATAAAAAATTAATAATAATAAATATTGTACAAAACTTTCCCGGCACGGAAACAGAAATCTACTGTGGTAAAAAAATTATTACGTGTTCTTTTATTTATGTTGGTTGATATTATAGAAAATATAGATAGATAATACCTCTGATAGGGTGTGAAAAACGTAAGCTTTGAAATGGTAATGCTCATTTGTAGCGGAAAGCTTTAACCTTACTTTACATTTTTGGATTATATTGGTAAGAAAAAATAGAACACATACATACTTCATTTAATATCAATATGATGTATTTATTAATTGGCTCTGATTTTGTTTTTGCTAAATCAGTCAAACACATTGTTTTTATTTTCTTTTTAAATTAGGAAATTGAACCCTTTTATTGTTTTGTACGTACAGATCCAGTTTCAATTTTCTAAACTTCTTATTTTTGATAGATGTTACGATGTGTTCAAATTTTCGTGGGGTCCAACAATTGAAGGTTGGAATAGCTGGCACATGACTATTTTTACTTTAGAAGTGCAGCTTACTCCAAGTAGAATACAACGTTGATTTATCGCTGTAAGAGTAGGTTACCGACTCCGCTCTCTCTTGGCCTGTTAACAGGGAGTTGCACAATCTCTTTGACATTAATGATCGTTGCTGATTCCGCTATAAGCGGTGATGCCGCAGCGGCCTATAAAAGACCGATATTTAGTCCGCGCTGTTTTCTTAAGTAACCTCAGTGTTATTTTAACAGTGAAGTTGGCCGGTTCGAAAGTAACCTGATCCGTTCCAAGCCCAACCACAGCCAGTTTCAGAGCGAAGTACGAACACTGCAAACATACAATAAAACCAATTAAGTGAGTCCCTAGTCAAGTGGACAAACTGGAATGACGTTAAACGCAACGATGCAGATTTGAAAAGAACTTTAAAGATGTTTAAGTAACCGTATTGTTTGTTTAACATTCACAAAGCCTGTCTGCTATTTCATGACTAGTCCACCACATTTTGCGCATTTTAATTACCCAATCAGTGGATGCAGTGATGGATATGCCAGCTCAGCATAACTTAACTTAATTTAATACCCAAAATTGCAAAAACTTGATCTAAGTTCGATTGTTCATTTTATAATACTTGTTTTTCCACGAAACATTTTCGATCGGTTTGTAACATTGACTCTGTCGGGGAGTAGTTGCACACACTAAATCCAAGCAAGCTGTGTAACCAAATGAAATTTGTGGCCTATGGCAACATCATACCAGGTGTGTTTTCCCCACGAAAAAAATATGTATACTTCTGTACTCGATGAGAATGGGTTTCGTGCGTAGAACAGAAGCTCCTGAACTCAATTTTTTTTTGTATACTTTTTTGCGTGGTGGGCAAAACGAAGTAAGCTCAAAAATGGTTACTTGTCATTAAGTTATAGATATTAATTCATGAATTGAAGTATGGAAGTAAATGGACTTATTAATTTCCACTTTACCAATATTTAGAGAAATACGTGTCCGTTTTTGGAAATATTATGAAAAATGTTAAGAAGTAAATATTCTTAAATTTAAAAATGTTTAAAAAAAAAATTTTTTAAATGTAGATATTGCATGCGTCTTAGTTTAGGATTCCGTTCGTATTATTGCATAAAAATAAAAGTTTCCGGGAATTGAAAGAGTAAGTTACGTTTTTTTGCTTAATTGATCTGATAAGATGATGATGGTAATAGATCTATGCGAAAATTCTAGGACGTAAATTTCAGCTTATCACATCGCCGACTGCGAGTACTAAAAGCTAGAAACAATAAAAGACGTTCTTATGAGTATAATAATGGGTTACACGTATTATTTACGGACGATGCCCCTTTGCAAATCAAATGAGTCAATTTTCAATAAATTGACAACAATTATTATTTTGCAATACAGCAAAGCATTGCTTTTACATTTTAAACTCCAAACGTCTGTTTCTTGTTAAAATTGTTTTAAGGAGAGGGTTAAGTTATGAGGAAATTCCATTTGACATCAAAAATAATTACTAATTGCATACCATACATATTAAACTGTACAGAACTGATACTTCTGTATTATTTTGCCTTCAATATATAGTCCTTATATTTTTACAAAATAAACAATAATTTATGTGGCTTCTCTATAACTTAGATATATCTCCTTTATAATATAATCCGTTAATTATACCCGTTACTAAAAAGAAAAAAGGGTGTAATAGATTCGTTGAAAAGTATGTAACGGGTAGAATGAAGCGTTTTTGACCCTATAAACTATATATATTCTTGATCAGGATCAATAGCGAAGATGATTAAGCCGTGCCTGTCCGTCCGTCTGTCCGTATGAATGCTGAAATCTCAGGAAAAATAAGAGATAAGGCAGGGAGATTCTTAAGTTCCCAAAGCAGCGCAAGTTTATTCAGATTTAAGATTGAAAGAGTTACGCTTGTATAAATCAGTAATGGGTATCTTATACTGGCGGCACTCGACTGCAGCGTTTCTTCTTGTTTTAGACACACCGTCGGCGGATGTGGTTGGATTTACGCGGCCAGTAGCATCCCTAAAATACGTATTCTTAAGCCTAATTTTCTAGCTCTTTTCGTTCCCGAGATTTTTGAATTTTTGGGTTTTGTGGGCGTTAGGGTGGGCGTGGCTAGATGGGAAAACAATTCGCATTTGGGGCATCATAAAAATCTACATGCTTAATTCGAACTTTGTATCACTTATAGTTACCGAGATATCAGGCTTTCTTGAAAATTCGAAAACCGTCTTTTGAGCTTGGTGGGCGTATGGGTGGGTGTGAACAGATAATAGTATCACTAAGAGATGCGCTGGCATCCAACGTTTATACATACTGAATTTCATTGATTCATTGATTTTAGCGATTTGTGGGCGTTAGAGTGGGCGTGGCAGGATGAAATAAACTGGCGCTGTCCCGGGACCTCAAGAATTTTCATTGTTAATCTCAACTTTGTATCTTGTATAGCTCCTGAGATCTCAGCGTTCATACGGACGGACGGACGGACAGACGGACATGGCTCAATCGACTTCGCTATTGATCCTGATCAAGCATATATATACTTTATAGGATCGGAAACGCTTCCTTCTATCTGTTACTTATTTTTTAACTTTTACTCTACGAGTAACAGGTATAAAAATTTCAAATTGTATAAAACAGAAAGTTACAGTCGACTTATCCTTTCTTCTGCTTCTATATATATATATATATATATATATGTATGAAATAAATGAAGGCCACAATAGAATTTTATAGAGTTTTTATAGTTTATATATAAAATATATTATAAAACTACCCTTTTAAAACATTATTCTCATTACAGATATCTACATTTTCCGTTTAGATTTAAAACTATAAATATGTGTGGTAAGTGACAGGTTTAAATTTCATATATTTGTTAGTACCAAAAAATGTAATGGCATACTATAAATTTATTTAATATTAACTGTAGCAATTAACGTAATACTCAAAATTTTTTAATGTATAAGCAATACGCAAAGTATTAGAAAACGTTAAAAACTTTATTCTGGCTTGCAGCTGAATCCATTTTACTCAAACCAACTACAACTATGGAGAACTTGCACAGTAAAGAACTTTGTGTAAACCAAATCAATATAAGTTGAAATTTGCATGGCAATTTAGAAAAGATGAAAAGTTAAAGAGTTTTATCAAGCTCCTCTAAACAACAACAACTATGTTTTGAAACCTCAAACCTTTCAAAATGGAACCATGTAATAGTAATATGTAATATGTGATATGATACCTTAAATTATTAATCAATTTAAACGCACAATGTGTTTAATAGCGAAGGTATGATTGCTTTATTCCTTAAGACTGGAGCTAGATCGGGTATTTATTCGAGTTGCGAACAAAACGAAAAATAATATAGTAGATAAGCGTTAGCGCGCGGATCGAAAGCTCGGTCATATTAAAACTTTAAATATAACTTTTTAATAATTAGATGTGTAGAAAAATATATATACATCGAAACTAATTTTTTTTTACTAATTTTCGAACAGGAATCTTTGCCTATCTGAATTACCTAACGCCAAAGTCGCGACTGGAAGTGCTTGATTTGCTCGTCACGGGCTTGAAAAGGTTGGAGTACCGCGGCTACGATTCCACCGGCGTGGCAATTGACTCTCCTGATAATAAAAACATCGTTATGGTCAAGCGTACCGGAAAGGTTAAAGTGCTTGAAGAGGCGATTCAGGAGCGTGAGTTTTTTCGTTGATAATATACAGCTGTATTTTTAATATATCTGTACAGACTTTAGCGGAGGAGGTTATAGCGATCCCGTTCTCACACATATCGGCATTGCCCATACCCGCTGGGCCACCCATGGCGTTCCTTGCGAGAGAAACTCCCATCCACACCGTTCTGATAACAAAAACGGATTTGTCGTTGTCCATAACGGCATCATCACAAACTACAACGATGTAAAAACCTTCCTGACGAAGCGAGGTTACGAATTCGAGTCAGACACTGACACCGAGGTATTCGCCAAGCTGGTACACCACCTGTGGAAAACTCACCCCACCCACTCTTTCCGCGAGTTGGTTGAACAGGCTATCCTCCAGGTTGAAGGCGCCTTTGCTATTGCTGTGAAGTCCAAGCATTTTCCTGGAGAATGTGTGGCTTCGAGGCGGAGTTCGCCTCTATTGGTCGGCATTAAAACAAAGACTCGCCTAGCAACTGACCACATACCCATTCTTTACGGAAAAGGTAAGATTCTTAAATATGGCAGCCTACCATATTCTGCCCTATCCTTTGCATTTTATCTTTATGTAAATAACTATGTATATGTTATGTATGTCCGATTGTTTTTTATAACAATCACGACTCTTGATTTTTTCTGTTGCCACCCCCTCCGACGGACCTTTTTGTCCTGCCTGATGCAACTATGACGTTCCTTGGGTGGATGTCGAACCGTAGATGACAACAAGCTAAGCCTCGATCAAGGTAGTCCTCTGCCTAACCCATATGCTTTTCGAATCAATAAATTGGAACTGTTGGGCTTTTTAAACACTAACATAAGCTTATAAAATCAATTCTGCCTTTATTTGATTAATGTATATAACGATTACATCTAAGCATGACTTAATTGTCAAATTAACTGAGCACCTACACTTTGTTTCATCTTCTTGCAATTGCTTAGATGCCGACTCTGGAAAGCCCCAAGGTAATTACAAAGAAAATGATTATAATGAAGCTAATAATATGCTTTGTGTTGTTGGCCAACTTATCACGCATGTCATAGCCACAAAATTTACTCATAAAATTAAGATTTATTTCGACTTAAAAAAAGAAGAATGGGTTAAGCTCTTTTTATTTCGATACAAAAGTTACCTCTTTATAAGCAATTACATTCATTTATGAATTTAAGAAAGATTGAGTGTAAAGTCAAAACAATAATACATTGTCAAATAAATAAAAAAAACAAAAGCCAAAGTTAAATTATGAAATTAATAATTAAAGAACTATGTTTTTGATACTAGCTCATTTTGAAATGCAAAGATAATTTATAATTTACCAAATTCTCAAGCAATAGCATTTAAAAAGATTCCATGGAATTATTTGTTTCTACTTTGCACCGATTTCTTAATTTGAAGTGGGTATTATACTCGATATGCATTAACCTCACATACGCTGTTGCTCACAACAAATGGCATTGCTTTTGTCTTTTCGGTTAACATTGGCACGATGGAATTGCAATACCACGCAATACCATTAACGCTGCCGCGGTAAACGACATTATATATACCACTATACATCCAACGCAACGATATGCCATGCAACCAAATGAAAATTAATATACTAGAAATTCGTCCGCATGGGCAATCCCGTAAACTGCCAGTTCTTCCCCGTTCAGAGAGCACTTCTGAGATCATGCCATTGGAAGAGAAGGAGGTAGAATATTTTTTTGCATCAGACGCGTCGGCCGTCATCGAGCACACTAACCGTGTTATCTATCTGGAGGTAAGATCATAGAAATCTCCGAACCAATTAAAACTGCTTTTACTTAATTCGGACCATTATTACTAATAAGAACAGTTAATTTTACCGAAGAATTATAACAGTGTAATTTGTATACCCGTTACTAGTAGAGCAAAAAAGTAGAATTTATTCATTTAACAGAATGTGACAAATTGAAGGAAACGTTTCAGACTGTGGCATTTATGTACTTACAAATGCATACATATATTTTGATCAGAATCAATACTATGTTCGACCGTCTGTTTATCTGTTTAGGTAATTTAATGTCCACACTAACAAAACTGTTGCTTTCATAATATTAATAACTTACAATATAATTTATTCACCAATACCTATCGATCTACCAATAATTGTTTTTGCCTGTAGGACGACGATGTTGCTGCTGTTCGTGGTGGTACTTTAAGCATTCACCGTTTGAAGAAGAGTCTGGAAGACCCACACGCACGGGAAATTACTACTTTAAAGATGGAAATTCAACAGATCATGAAAGGGAACTACGATTATTTTATGCAGAAGGAGATTTTCGAGCAGCCCGACTCAGTAGTCAACACGATGCGCGGTCGTGTGCGCTTTGACTGTAACTCAATTGTGCTCGGCGGAATCAAAGAATTTATCCCAGAGATCAAACGATGTCGCCGCCTCATGCTAATTGGATGTGGAACTTCTTACCACAGTGCAGTAGCTACCAGACAGCTGCTTGAGGAGCTTACTGAACTACCAGTGATGGTAGAGCTGGCTTCCGACTTTCTGGATCGGAACACACCAATATTCCGCGACGACGTCTGTTTTTTTATATCCCAGTCCGGAGAGACCGCTGATACCCTAATGGCTTTGCGTTATTGTAAGCAGCGTGGTGCCCTTATCGTAGGCATAACAAACACAGTAGGTAGCAGCATTTGCCGCGAATCCCACTGTGGAGTCCACATTAATGCAGGCCCAGAGATTGGAGTAGCCTCAACTAAGGCCTATACCTCCCAATTTATTTCCTTGGTGATGTTTGCGCTGGTAATGTCCGAGGACCGCTTTTCCCTACAACAAAGACGGCTCGAGATTCTTCAGGCCTTGTCCAAACTTGCAGACCAGATTCGAGCAGTTCTTAAGCTGGACTCAAAAGTTCAAGAGCTGGCCAGGGACCTGTACCAACACAAGTCGCTACTGATAATGGGCCGCGGATACAATTTCGCTACCTGCCTAGAAGGCGCTCTGGTAAGAAATTTTCATCGAATTTTTCTAAAAACTTAGAATATTTAACACTTTGCAGAAAGTTAAGGAGCTTACCTACATGCACAGCGAAGGTATAATGGCTGGTGAACTAAAGCACGGCCCTTTAGCACTTGTTGACGACTCCATGCCAGTCCTAATGATAGTTCTTCGGGATCCCGTCTATGTCAAGTGTATGAACGCTTTGCAGCAGGTCACATCTCGCAAGGGCTGCCCAATTATTATATGCGAGGAGGGCGACGGAGAGACCAAGGCGTTCTCTTCTCGTCACCTGGAAATTCCGCGAACCGTTGACTGCCTACAGGGAATACTTACCGTAATACCAATGCAACTTCTATCCTATCATATTGCAGTGCTGCGCGGATGCGACGTTGACTGCCCCAGAAACCTAGCAAAATCAGTGACGGTTGAATAGAACATATTGATTCTCTACAAAAAAAACTGTGTTTACTTACAATTGGAGCTAGGCAATTATTAAAGATATGTAGAAAACTTTCTAAGGAAAATTTTGAAATGCATTAAATGGTTTTTAAATACGTTGAATTAATAATTTATTTCTGACTGTTTGTCTGTCTGTCTTTCTGTCTTTCTGTCTGTCTGTCTGTCTGTCTGTCTGCCTGTCTGTCTGACTGTCTGTCTGTCTGTCAGTCAGTCAGTCAGTCTGTTTGTCTGTGCGTCTGTTTGTCTATCTGTCCGTCTGTTTGTCTATCTGTCCGTCTGTCTGCCTGCCTGCCTGTCTGTCTGTCTGTTTGTCTGTCTGTCTGTCTGTCTGTTTGTATGTCTGTCTGGCTGCCTGTCTGTCTGTCTATATGTCTGTCTTTCCGTTTTTAAATATGAAGGATTAATAATTTATATCTGTCTGTTTGTCTGTCTGTCTGTCTGTCTGTCTTTCTGTCTTTCTGTCTGTCTGTCTGTCTGTCTATCTGCCTGTCTGTCTGTCTGTCTGTCTTTCTGTCTTTCTGTCTGTCTGCCTGTCTGTCTGACTGTCAGTCAGTCATTCAGTCTGTCAGTCAGTCAGTCAGTCAGTCAGTTAGTCTGTCTGTCAGTCTGAACGTCTGTGTAAAGTAAAGTTGTGTTCCCATGTATTTGACTAACAAAGGGTCATTGTAAGAGGGGTTCCCAGGCAATGCAAAACACTAAAAGATAAATTCACAAAATTCACGTTTATTAATATATATGACATATGTAAATAGCGTCCCGCATTAGATGCGACGTGCGTATTCTCTTGCTTGCCGAAGACGACTGCCTTTGCCCTCTTTCCGCATTCGTTCTTGCTCCCACGCATCGTCCCAAAGTGCGAGAGCGATCAGCTGATTGCTCTCCGCTCCCTGCTCCCAGCTTACAGCACACTGGGACAAGCAGGAAACTTTACATGCCGCCAGCCAATGCTAGACCTAGCATGAGAAACCTTCGCTTGTCCGGTCCATCCTGGTTGTGGGGTAGAATCTAGTATGGGAATGTAAACAAAAAGTGTGCGCAAGAAACAAGTTAATTATAATTGAGGTGTGTATGTGAGGGCGCTTATGGTCGGATCGGCAGTGGATAGAGCTTCGACACCGAACGCTTCAACCGGCCTTGCTTGATTTTAAGCGTGACAACCCGAACCAACGTATCCGTCCCCGGGTGTAGCTCGACGACGTGCCCCATTAGCCATTGCGACGGCGGAAAACGGTCGTCCTTGATGTTGACGAGGTCGTCAAGCTAAAGTCCTTCTGAACCATCTCTCTCCTCCCGGTGAACTATCCAGCGCCAGTAAAATATGTGTTCCGTGGTGAGGCCTGTCAACGCTTCCAAGTGCACTGCCTTTGCTGCAAGGCAAATGAGAACGGCGATGTACCCCTTGTAGAAGCTGGTGCCTCGCAACCGTGCTGCCTTGAGCTCTATAGCGCCTGTGCAGTAGCGTCAACTCCCTTTGCAATGAATGGTCGACTAGGGGGGTTCACTCGATGAAGCGGCAAGTCTCCCATGAGCGGAACCGAAGCGGAGGGCTGTGCTCGGAAACTCTGGACACATTTCCGTACAACTCTTCGAACTGCCTGCCTTCCTGCCACTATCCAGAACGGCTGGAGTGTATGCGCTATAGTGCCGTATTACCAGCTCAGTGAAATGATCTTGGAAATATTATCAGATGTTGGCGCTCATATGGCTAGTTAGAATGGCATAGCCACCCCCTCACTCGCAGGATACCTTCCGACAAGATCTGCGACAAGCTCAAAA